TTTATTTTGATCTGTAGCAGGTTTTATTTTGATCTGTAGCAGGTTTTATTTTGATCTGTAGCAGGTTTTATATTGTTCTGTAGCAAGTTTTATTTGGATCTGAAGCAGGTTATATATTGTTCTGTAGCAAGTTTTATTTGGATCTGTAGCAGGTTATATATTGTTCTGTAATAAATTTTATTTTTAATTATTTCCAAGATCTTGCTTGTATGAAGCTTGCCATGTATGCTGTTGATTATGTGTTGGTTTGATTTTTTATTGAATTTGGTATGTTATATAATAGACAGGAATTGTTTTCAGTTATTATTTTAGTCATCAGTACTGAGATAAAACTTTCACCTTTATATTGAGACGTATATATGCTCAAATTATTTCCAGGTTACGAAACCTCCAGCAAACGAGGGCATTAAAAAGTCTAGTACAAAGTCATAAAGAAAATTCTCAGACTGTTGTTGATGGTTCTAAGATGAGTGACGTGAATGAAAAAACAAACAAGAGTAACACAAGAATAACTATGAATGGAGATACCAGTGTTGATGGTAAAGTTACAGAGAACAAATCAGCAAAAGGAAATAAAGGGCGATCTAAATATGAAGAAGAGGAAAATGATGATGAAAGTGGTAATGAGAGTGATGCTACTCAAGCAACTAGCAGGTTGTCTGATGGGGAGGTTAGTATTTTGTTTGTGTCAGGTTATTAAAAGGTTTGTATTTTGTACTAAAGTCTTGCAGATACCAGGGAACCAATGACAGAATGTCAGTATAATTTTCCATACAGGCATCTAGTGTCCTTTTTGATATGATGTTTAGTTTATTTTTCAATTTGTTTTGTTGGATGAAGACTTGTAAGTACAGTTTTTGTTGTTGGATGAAAACATGTAAGAACAGTTTGTGTTGTTGCATGAAGACTTGTAAGAACAGTTTGTGTTGTTGCATGAAGACTTGTAAGAACAGTTTGTGTTGTTGCATGAAGACTTGTAAGAACAGTTTGTGTTGTTGCATGAAGACTTGTAAGAACAGTTT